GACATCATCAAGCCAACTACAGGTATAAAAGGATTGACAGCTCCCGGAGAGCATAGCAAAAAATCTCATCTTCCTCGTGCGCTGATATTACCTCAACATTAAGAGTAATTTCGTAAGATTAGCTGTATTTGCAGAGTTATGCAATCCCGATGGCGGGAGAACGAACGATTCGCGAAACGAGCGTTGGGAAAAACTCGTTGCGTAAGTTTTTTTGACGTGCAAATAAATTTTTACTCGACAATACCGCGCGAATTATTCGATTTTTGAACTTTATAATCAACATCAAACGGTGGAACAATTCCGTATTATATCGCAGATGTTGCTGAAACACATAAAAAATAATTAGAAACATATATTATAAGTCTGCAAATTATAGGTTTGAAGACAAATTGCACAACCAAAAATGGAAACTAGTCCGTTGAATGAAGACTGACCTTTGTGTAATTAAACTATAAGTATATGACTTTGCGATAAGTAGGCAAATATTTTCATAATTTGTCTTGCTATAATTTTTAAGTAGGCAGATGTAAACGGGTTAAGAAAGCTCGTTTATGAGTATCATATCACCTAATTTTTTTTACAAAAATACGTAGGCATAAACATTTATATTCTACAAGACTAGGTACAGAATTTCTTACCGGCTCAATTAAAAGCGCGTACAATACTGTTACGATATCTTAATGAAATTATTAACCTACATTTCGAATTAAGTGCTGACGAAAGTGGCTCATATTTGAAATCTCTAGATGTAAAATTACGATCATCTTCGCATACAATAACCGCACAATATCACAATTTTCTCATCACTTGTGTACATAATAATAATGCTGTACAAGCGCTTCTCCGGGTTTATAGATTTCGAGGTTGTCAGGTTTAATGGGGCATGATGATTTTTTTAATAAGTATTTTGTGTAGGTATTCGAAATTTATACCCGAGTAGATTACGAGCTTTAAATAAGTAAATGTATATGATTTTATGTTTCCTGGAAATAGAGGACTTTATAGGATGTACGCAGGATTGAAATGAGTTCACAAGTATACCCACTGAATAAATATAATAATTTTTTGCTTCTACATATATGCTTTAAGTTTTTATGTGAGACAAGTCTCACACTATATACGAGAGATTCCAACGGTAGATAAGGCAAGAAACCCGGCAGAGCTGGGGTAGGAAAAGTATAAAAACGAACATTTCCTGATGGAAATAGGTGGATATCTCCTGGAGTAGGTATTATTCATATTTTCGATAATTTTCCCAATCGGTAATTATTTTATTCAAAGCAATTCGAGCCGACCGATCACGCACGTTTAAACTCGACCACACACACATGTATGCCTACGCTTTTCTGGCGTTCTCGATTCTTGTGCAAGAAGTGTGCGATCGCATTCCGCGATTTTCACGATCAATGATCATGCACGCTATTTTTCCTTCGGCGCGCGTTAGACTTTAAAGTATAGGCAAACGAATTAATTCGAATCGGCTCGCTAAAAAATTCATTCACTTTTTATCGACCTTCGTCGTGCCATGCTCGTTTAATTGGGTTGAACGTAGGCGCATTTTGCAAAGTATTGTTATTGAAATGTGCTTATTAATTTTATCCAATTTCAAGGAAGTTCGAGTTATTGCTGCATTTACTATAGGTCTTGCGTTTTTTCGTTTTGGTTATAAAATACAGTGATTATATGATTTTAAAAATTGTATTTGTAGATAGCTATAATTATTCTTATGCCCACTTGCGGGTTTCTCGTCGCACTGTCAAAAAGGAGATGCTAAACCGTGACCTGGATTTCGAAACGGCCCGACCGCCTCCGGGGTTTATCGCCGGCAAGCCCGGACAATGATATAATTCGATAATTGTATGGGATTTCGCAATTATAAACTTAGGAGTTAGGGAGAACACAAATCCTATTAACAATAATGTTTGATGATTAATATCGAATAGGGGTGCTTCGAGATTAGATTTTGTATAATGTGCATGAGGAAAGGAAAGTACGAAACAGTGTATAAATAATAAAACGTATTTAGGAGAGAAGAATTGGGATAAAACATTAAGGAGTTAATAGCACCGTTTCAGGCACACGAAAGAAAAGCACAATAGATATAACATTACGAATATAATCGTGAGAAAATCTCGCAACCTTCCCAATTATTTCACTCGAAAACGGATTTATATTAGTTGTTTCTAACGTTAATAGGAGACTTTAGAATGTTACATCGCAAAAAGAGCATTGTTTCAAAGATTTACTACAAACTTCACCGCATTATGTTAATCCGTAGTGTTATTAAACATAATTAAACCAGATACAGAGTGTCCCAAAACGGGACGCAATTTTCCTCAGCTCCATCAACCAAATTACTTCTCGCCGGCCGCTCGGCCTCGCCCGCGATCGTTTTTCTATTCATTCGATTCATTCGAACGGCCAAAACGAATTAATAGCTTCCTTTCACGATGTCGAAATCGCCTCGGACCCCGACGATCGAAAATCGCTTAATTCCATCTAATTGGCCCGAGTTATGCGCCGACAAAAGTATACCTCTCGCAAGAGTTCCCATGAAAAATCGCAGCGTTTCGGGTGTGACAAAATCGACCTGCCTAATTATAAGCACATTGTTTTCCAATCGAAATTCGTACTCGTTGAATTATTCATTCAGGAATAATTGCATACCTGATCAATGCCTGCCTTTAAACGATATACAAACTTTCTCGTCTGCAGCTATTTCAAACGAACTGTATTTTACCCTTACTGTACTTATTTTTTACTGTCATTTCCACATCACTTTAAATATTTTTATGAAATTTGGTGTACGGCGTTTATGCGGATTAAAGAGCATTTTTTGACGTAAAAACTTTTTTATTTAAAACTGGCGTCCGTACTGGACACAGACCAAATATTTTTGGCGATAAAAGTGATGATATAAAGTAAAGATAAATCTTTTTCTTAATTGTAGTTTTTTCTTGTAATTTTTCATTGTAATCTTTTCCTTGTAGTTTTTCCTTGCAGTTTCTTCATTGTACTTCTTTCCTTATACTTTCATCCTTGTATTTTTTTCCTCGTACTTTCTTCCTTGTACTGTTTACAATGTACTTTTTTCCTTGTATTTGGTGATAAAAATACCGGACGCGTCGAAACTGGCTCATTTTAACCGCCATTTTTTATCGATATCTAAACTAGAGTTGCTCAAGTGTTGACGAGCGCACGGTATTCGCATTATGCGTGTTGAACCGTAGCAGTCCAAAGAAAACATAAATCAAAAGTAAATGGTTAACTGAATACGTCGCCCGATTAAAATGCCTAGTTGTTACAATGTGTTGTTGCCTTTGTTAATCATTCCTCGATTAGATAAGTTTATATGCATATTCGCTCGAATTCACTTAATTAGTACGTTGACTCCTATTATTTAAATACACAGAACTTAGTCCAATAAAGTAAATATATTTATTCGATTCAGATGGTACTCGAACATGTTCAATATTTATTTAACATTCCATTGAACTCACATAGTGTAGTTACAATTAAATTAGCATTGAGTGAGATATGTGTGTATTAAAAATCAACGACCATGGATCAGAGAACGTTTCGAATCGTACTCGAAGGTATTTTATGGGTTCGTTGCATAGAAAGGGAAACGTTATTCAATGAGAGAAAGTCCGTCCGTTTGATTTATTTATTTTTTTCGTTAAATATTATTCGATCGACCGAAACTGTGCGTTCGCTGTAAATTCGATAGAATATTTTTCATCTCATCAATGAACCGATTCTTCTCAAGATGCTGGTCAATATTACTCAACAATTTACCGAGCCGGGCTGCGAGAAATCCTAACGGTACGACGAAAAAATGAATAAAAGAGCTTAATTGGATCCTCCGTTAATAAATTGGAGCATTTTTAGGTTAGTCAACAAAGGTCCTTTAGGAGAATCACCCTGTAGAAGAATTGTATGTATAAAACTAATCCATTGTGCCTAATAGACTACAACCCATTGTATAAGGTACCTGATAGTTAAAATCGATAAAACCCAGCCAGACAAAAAAAACTGTTATCGAAAAACACGTTTAAAAAACATTTAACCCGGTTAGTGTCTTTACTGTCGTGATCATGAACCATGTAAATGCGATAAACACAAAGTGGAAGACATGGTTATTTTAAAATATTTGACCTGCATAAGCGGTTGAGGCATTTTCCGCTTCAAAAGTAATAATTATTTATGGTTCCTTCAGAGACATAATTTACAAATGCGACAGGATAATGATCTAGAAAGGCTTGAAAAGCTTAAAAGGCTATTTGAATTAGTTGTAAATATTATGGGGTGTAGTCAAATAATAAGTAAATAAGGTATACGTTGGTCTAAATAATTAAGAGGTTATCAGCAGCAATTTTTCTCCGTTTACAACCAGCAGGAACCATTGATTTATAAATAAGTAACGCTTTAATAACACGTACACTTAAATTAATAGCTCAAGAAATATTTAAGATAAGAAGAATTAACGATGCAATCGAATTCCTACACGTTGCAAGATTTCTTGAATATTTCCTTACATTAACGATTTTTTTAATTTATCAATATTTCAATCAACTACAATACTTACCTACATAAGTATAGCAGATACGTACGCATTAAGAAATAAATTAATTATACTCTAATATTGTGTGATTTTGCATGTTTTTTTATAATCTGGCAACGCCGGTAGACTTCGAGGAAGCACTCAAGCATCGAACTCTTCGAAAATAAAATGTCCGATGGCAATTAAGTAGAAATTGCGAGCGATCGCTAATTCGAAGAGGAATATTAAATCGATCTCGTTTTAACACGCTGAATCGAGTAAAATTACACACCCTTTAACGCGGTTTTCCTCTGTTGCAGGTGTAACCATCAATCAAATTGACCGAATCGAACGCAATTATGAGGTAACAAGTAGAAAAACATCGATTAATTGCTTCCCACTTTAGTGCCATAATCACTCGACTCGCGAATAAAATGACACCGGAATAACCGCCTAAATGGCTCTAAAACTTCGGAAAGACATAAAAAAATCCAGCTACTACGTTTGGTTTCTCGGCGCCAAAGAATCCAAAGGCCTGCGCGGCACCGAGTACATAATACCCGTAATCAAGCACCTCGAAGAACGAGAGAAAGACATCGAACCGTTCAAAGTCACCCTCCAAGTCTCCCACAAAGGCCTCAAGATCATCCAAAACATCGTCTCCCAAAACCAGAAGAACTCCAAGCCGAAGAACGAGACCATCAAGCACTTCATACCGCACAACACCATCACCTGCGTCTACCAGCAGGACGACGTCATCGCCTGCATCCTGCTGCTCTTCAATCCCGTCACCAAATGTCCGCTGCACGTGCACGCCTACAGGTGCGACAGCCTCGAAACGGCCACGCTGCTCAAAAACCAGCTGCAGATTTTGATCGAGCGCCCCGACAACCAGAAGAAATTCACCGAAATCGAGAGCCGCCTCAAGCCCCAGAAGGAGCTGAAGAAGGTCGATAGCAGCATCGGCAGCGACACCGGCACCTCCACCAGGGAGAGCGAGAGCAGCGAAGAAAGGTAAGCCTGTCGTTCTTCCACATTTTCTTTATCCTCGATTGGTTTAATAATAGCAAGGGAATCTTCACCAAATAGAAGGGAAGCAATGAGAAAAGGTAAGCTCTTTCTCCCACATTTTCATTACGCTCAATTGGTATAATGGTAACAAGGGAATCTTTACCAGGGAGAGCGAAAGCAATGAAGAATAGTTAGCTCTTTATTCCACATTTTTAGTATAAAGGTAAGCTCTTTCTCCCACATTTTCATTACCCACAATATTGGTTTAATAGTGACAAAAGGAAATCTTCACCAGGGAGAACTAAAGCAATGAAGATAGGTTAGCTCTTTCTTCCACATTTTTATTACGCTCGATTGGTTTAATAACAGCAAGGGAATATTTACCAAGGAAAGCATAAGCAATGAAGAAAGGTTAGTTATTTCATTCTCAACATCTTCACTACTTCTGATTGGTTTAATAATAGCAAGGGAATATTCTAAGCGAGATCTGGCTTTCGTAGGAAACGAACTCGTGTAACATTTTCTCATTACCGCGAGATGATTATGTATACGTGAAAGAAAATTAGCGGTTACGTCACGCCGTTGGTACTAGAAAGTAATTGCTACCAGTATCTGCATGATATTTGACAAGGAATCGCCTAAAACAAATAGTAACAGTAATATCAGTGTGCACGTGTTGGTCGGGAAAGTTACCAGAAGAAGTAGGTGGAAATGATGTAATGATAATAGTGCGTGTGCAGGTACTTGTAATGAATAGGTATTATGTTCTTTTTCTAACTAACGGAAGGGTTAAATTTTCTCGTATATGTAGATAATAATTAGTAATTATCAAGGTTGAATGGGAATTGTTTGTTTCGATTAGCTGGATAACGTGAAATTTATTGGTAATTAATTTTCAATTTTCAAGAAAATTTCATACCAATCTTCACGGTCACGTAGAAGGTGGTATTATTAAAATCGAATTAGTAACGGAACTGATAGGTTTTTTCCTGTTTTCCGCCTTCGAAGATTAAACTATAAGATATAATAGTCGATTGTATGTTAAAATTTTAGTGTGAAAATCAACTATAAATTTATTAAACACACGCCATAATTGATTTAATAATTGAAATCAACACAAATTAAATGAAATTTATTTATAAACGATACGTATAATAAACAACGATACATTTATTCATTAACAGAGAAATTTGGAAATATGTATATGCCATATTTTTAGAGGACATGGCAAACTAATCTTAATCTATTAAATCTAAATTTCACAAGTGAAGACCAGTGTTAAAAAGCACTTACAAGCGGAAATCCTTGGCGTTGTTTTACAAGCATTTCAATGCAGGATAGAGTAGATTATAGTAGAGAGTAGATGGTACAGAGAGTAGAGAAAGTAGCGTTCAGAGAGGAATGGGTATAAAAAAATGTAGAGAATACAGAGAGTAAAGAGTACAGAAAGTAAAAAGAGTAGCGAAAACAGATAGTAAAGAGTACAGAGAATATAAGATAGTAGAGATTACAGAGAGTAGATAGTAGGTTTGTTCCAGCAGCATGTTTTGTGTTGTTACGAACATTGTGAGCATGCGCAATGATATTTGGTGTTCTGAGTAAATGTTTGCTGTTCCGGCAGAATTCGTTTTTTGTTTGGATCATGCTTAAGATCTGCCAAACGGTTCTCGTTTGAAGTGAGAACATTTAGAACAATTTGATAATAAGTATGGTTATATTAGTTTTTTGTTAGTCATAAATGTTTGTTTAGTTTTAAAATATGGACATTGTTGATTTATTTGAAGCTATGGGCGAAAGGTGTTATCTTTAGTTACGATGAATTATCCGAGAACGATTTTAAAGAATTGTTGGAAGAAACGCAGAGGCCAAAAAATAAAAATTATATCGAGGAAACCGTTCTTCAATATTCGGAAAAAGAATTCAAAAAACGTTTCCGTATTACAGGATACGCAACAACTGCTCGAGGTGTTCTAGCAAGAAATGTTTCAGTCATATAACGAACTTGTATACATCAGGGCACGCGCAATACAATACTGATACAAACATACTTTGAACATGCTGCTGGAACAAACCTAGTAGAATGTGTTTGGGCGAAATCTTGTGAGATATTTAGTGATGCAACATGCAGGAAACGACATTTTCGGTAATTTCGATACCGAAACACTTCAGACGCCCAAAAAGATCCACAATCCTCTAATCACGCACTATCCGAATTCCAGATACGCCGTGGAAAGCACGCGCGTGACCACGCTCTACGACTCCGTGGCTGCGGAGCTGCGCGCCAAGCTCGGCAAGAAGAGCTCCCCGATCCTCTTGCCGCCGCGCGACTACGACACCGTCCACCGCAACAAGGGCAACCTGACCGGCATCGAGCTGAGGCGCTGTCTCAACGCCAACATCGTCGGCCAGAACGTGAAGGGCAGGCGGCTGGAGAGCAGCGGCGGCAGCTCCGGCATCGGATCCGACCATCCGCCCAGCCCAGAGTCGCCCGACGCGCCCGACTCCAGGTTCAACACGTTGGACAACCAGAGCACCAGCGGTAAGTTGGACATTATTTGTGCTCGATGGAACGTTTCGATTGCCTCGCATAGTCGCGCAGGAAATATCCTGTTATTTTCCGTTCGAACAGGAAGCGATATCGCAACCTTCTTGAATCGCTTATGAGCTATTAGGCACCACTTGGTGCCGCTATTGTACCTATACTATTATTTACAGTGCCGGACTTAGCATTTATTTTGTATGCACCAACCTTATTATAATATTCTTACATACATTATTAATAATCTAGGAAAAAACGGAAAAGAGCGAGCTCCGAATCTGGACAAAGATCATGCAAATCGCGCTTCGTATAGTAATTATTCCCTTTTGTTTTCGCTGATATTCCAATTACGCCATTGTTGGAAGTTAATTCGCTGACAGGCAACGATACATTTTCCGAAACGTTTCTTTCAGTTCCGCATTCTATTCTTCCATACATCTTGTAAACGTTACAGTTTACTTTCTCAGGTAAATGAAGTCGGTAATCAGCGGTTATTGGAGTATAATGGCCGCAGTTAGTAATTTAATTTTTTTTTCAATGCGAATAGCGAGAGGAAGCGGCGCGAAATTGAATAGGGCCGATGAGGAAGAGAGTTTCGTGTATACAGGGTGTCTTTCGGCTGTGACAAGTGCTTTACAAACGCGCAAACAACTTTCCACTCTGCGAGTGCGATTTTTTTGCGTTAATCTCGTTAGAAAATATGTGTAGACTCGCCGGCGCGAGATTTATTAACGCCATATATAAACCGGAGAACCGTGACTTTCGTATTACGTCGGACGTCACCGCAGCCGGGTAATTAGTCCAACCAGTAATTATTTTTACATGGTTTACCTCAAACTTCAAACCGATCTACATTTGCATCAATCAAACGTTCCTACACCGAGAAAAATTATCCGTAGAGCTCGGAATTTTTTCTACTTATTGAACCGTAGCGAGTTGTGCAGGAATTGATTCGGAAATTTTGACTAGATGAAAACTTTCCACATTGAAGAGCAATTGAACCGCATCGGATTTCACTTAAACTTCGCGAATAAAATACACTGTTCTCTTATTTTTGTTCTATTGTATCATTTTGTAAACGACACGAAACAAAATAAAATAATCGCCCTGCCATTTTTGTTAGTACTTTCACAACGTAACAACTTTTACGTATAATTATAATTGCATAATTACATTACACTAAGTGCCTCGAAGTTCGAAGACAGTTTTTAGAAAGGATATACGTTGCATCGTTCGATGGCAGGCATTTTTAATTACAATTTCAGTACTCGTTAATGCTGCTATTGGCCCCATCAATATGGTTATCTCTCCTGAACAATAGCCGCGTCTGTGGTATCTTTTTTCTTAATTTATATAGCGTACCGTACAGTTAAATTGGCCGATAGCATCTAAACATACGCTCCACTTTACTCCGGGTTACACCCTGTTGCACGAGCACCGCCGATTTCGTTTTAAATCATCCAATCCTTATTCGGACGGCGGAGAGTTGTTCGTTGCTAATGAGCGCATAACTTTTTGGGAATTATTTTAATTTCTATTCACCTAACTGCAGATATAGAACAAACAAATAACTGAATTCTATTGTTGGTTGGTTCGGAAAACTGGCAAGAACTCCACCAAACGAAAGACAATAGTATTATTTACGCTATCTTTAACACGGGTACAGTTAAATGTAGTTCTTTCTATTGAGATTATAATATGAAAAAAATCGTGATTGCACAGATAAATGTCGCGCTAGCAGTGGCGTATGAACGCAAATTATATTTTTTGTTGAAATTTAAAGCGAATAGAATTTGCACGCCTTTGTTGGAGTGTACATAAATGACACCAGGTCATGCTATCTGCACAAGTTTTGACTTGATGCACAATTTTACGCTTCGTGGTTCTCTTTAGATCGCTAATTTCGCTATATAAAGCAATTTTTTAATTAGTAAAAAAGCGAGTTGTTCAGAATGCTACAGGCTAATTCTCCTTACAAGAAAGAAAAGTGCGTTAGAAATAAACTTTCAATCACTATAATTAAATTAAATCGAATTACTATGGTCGAAATTGTGGTATTATACTTAAGATGTACAGTAATAACGCATGTTTTAAAACCAATCAAACGTAAACCTGTCATTATAAAGCTCGAATGCAACAAATTCGATGATAATAATTGTGTTTACAAGGTACGGTTTTAAAATACTCGCGATGGTTTCCAAATTCCATCGCTAAAACCCTAATAGGCGCAATCCTGCGGCTAACTTAAGGTAATTCTGTAGTTTTATTACCGTTAATTATTAGTCAGTTTCGTGATTGTCGGTGGAAAAAAAAATAAACATATCCTGAAGAAGTCATGATTAATTAGGTACTTGCGTGCTAATGCTCGGTCGTTTTCATCAAAGAGCATTTCGCCTAAGGACAACGATGGTTGGAAGAATAGCCAGATCGAAACGGAATGTTTTTAAGCGAAAAAGTGCATCAAGGTTGTAACATTTATCTATAGTTATACGGCGTAGAAATAAAATGAACGTTGTTCCAAAAAAGTAAACAATCAAATCCGATTATCATTCTGTTGCGAGTTTCGTTTGTAATAGATTCCGGCCCATACCGCAAAAGTTTATTAATTTTTTTACCTCGTAAGAACTGAATTAAAGTAACAGAATTTGGTAAAAGGCGTTCTGCGATTTTGCGGTTATAATTTGGACATTTCTGATACTTTACAGGCACTTTGACTGTGTCCATATGTATCTCATTACCTCCGTTACTTCACATGTTAATCCTAGGAATGCGTATTAACGTTTTACTATCGAACCGACGTTGGCTTAATTTACAACTTAAACTAGAAGTAAAACCGAACAAACACGATCAATCATCATAAAATATAGACTATAAAAAGCGATCAAAGTCGTAACGCTAATTGCGTATGAGTGCATCGTGGAGCTTTAATTCCTTCTCAATCCTATAGAACAAGTTTGTCGGTCGCTTCGTGAAATGTCAAAACCGTTAGATGCCTCAAAAATGAAAATGCACAAACACGATCGATTAATGATAATAATATTAGTTTCAAATGAGTTTAATTTTATGCTGTTTATTTTGTTCAGTGTAGCATAAAAGCGTATTGTGCGATTGTAGTAGGTATCATTCAAGTACAAAATTTGTTACTACACATTTTTATTTATTGACATATCGAAACAAATAAAAGTGTCGAAAGTTATTGTATTTAAATGTAACGAAATAAATTTGGAACACTATTATATAACTTTGAATTGCCGGTAATTTATTCTAATACGAATGAACTTTAGATAATGAGATAGTTCACAATTCTATTGTTGCCTCCTTATTTAATAGAATTGAAATTTTTCCGGCGAATATCTCATAAAATAATACTTAATAGGAAAGTTTTGTTTTAAAATATCTCGATTGAACCGATTTTGATGCTTAATGTATAGATAATTGCGAGCCCGATTCTGTTTTCCGCCCATCGACTTACACTCACAATTACAACATTAATCAAAAACTAATTTGTATGTGTGGCAATTGCGAATTCACTCGCTTGAAATATTAATTTCAATGTTTTTCTACTCGGTTAAAAATCGGCGTTATCCGGTGTCGATGCCGCGCGATAATTTGCACATATAACGCCGCAGAATAATAGAAACTACTCGTACATTCCGATTGATTACCGTTTTTTTGCATCCTCGATAACTGGCTACTGGACAAAGGAGCATTTACCGGGCTATTACATCACCGATGTTTGCAAGGAAAGAGTTACGGTTATGAAAGTGTACATGGGCAATTTTTTACTGATGCTTAATTACAGATGTTTTAATGGCTACCGCGTGTTTATTTGTCAGGATACTTGTGTTAAGTAGTTTTTTTTGTTTATTTTGAATTTCCTGCAAAAATTTCAGGACGGAATTGAATAAAAAAATTAACAAACCGAGAATGTAATAAACGAAGCATTCCGATGAGTTAAATAAATACCAACAAGAAACCAAAACACGTCCAATAATCCACAAAATTCAGTCGCAAATCGCTCGCGGAAATTCATTTTTGCGGTAAATAATTTTCCGCCAGATTAAGAACATGTAATATTAGATTATTGCGGTGATTGGCGGACGTTTTTACGCGTTCGTTTTGCACTTTTACGCCGGCTATTGAACCTATCCAGACCCATTGGACCGGTAACTTTTCTCTAACGACACTCGAGCGAGCCGTTCTTCCCGCTTTTTTTTGCATTAGTTTGTTTGGTTGATGAGCTTCAGCTCCGACCGAGATAATTCGATTAGGTCGCGGGCACGGTTTAACACAAGGTCAGGTTCGCAGTTTCAAAATCATACAGTAAATCCGCCAAATAAATGCCATTTATCGTCGAAATTCCGAAAAAATATGCACCTAACTATTCCGTTCTCATTTTGTGTACTCTGGCGTTCGAAGCGTATCCTTCGAGTCATGAATAATTTTGAATGGTTAACGGGAGGTCGAGGAAAAATTAGCCCGAGTCGAGTTAGGAGAATACCGAGCCGTAGAAGAACCTATCATTAAACTATATACTCACTTGAAGATACCTCTTCTTCGAGATAGACGTTAGTAAGGGAATTTAAAATGGAGGCCCGAATATAGGAAATGGTACCCACTGAAAAAATCGAAATATCGCAGGTACTTAGCGATCGTTTCAAACGGTAAAAGACTTCGTTTAATGATTACGAAAATGCTTTTTAACTACAAAACCCATATAAAGTTAAATTGCAGACCAAATGCACTATAGATAGCTGATTTTTAGCTGAGTTTTAAGCGGAAAGAAAACTCTGTTAAAGTTTGTACTTTTTAAAATGACAATTCCGTCACAAACCAGCCTGTTGCAATGTTGCCGAGTTGTAATTGAAATCCTTTATATGGCCAATACATTTAATTTAGAGTCCACAAATAGTGGAATTTAAAAATGGAAAAAGAACATAGGGAGCAGATACGAACTCGCGAGTATTAATTTAACTGAATATTATGATACACACGCACGAAAATTATACTAAAAGCTCACGAAAGACACAAAAAGACGCGGTAGAAACTGATAAACGTACAGAAACCGCACGAAAGACTTTCTAAAACAGACGAAAAAACAAAAACTAGGTAAACTTAAAAAAAAAACAGGATGAAATCACTGGGAATCATTGAGAACGCTCCAAAATCATTTAAAACTGTCTAGAATCATTTAGAACGCTCCCAAACCATTTAGAACACTCCATGCAGAACCATATAGAATTGCCTAGTACTGTCTAAAATTATTTAGAACTTCCCAGACTCATTTAGAACTGTCTATAACCATTTGAAAGGCTCCAGAATCATTTAGAACTGCCAAGAACAATCTAGAATGCTCCAGAAACATTTAGAACTGTCTATAACCATTTAAAAAGCCCCAGAATCATTTAAAACTGTCTAGAACCATTTAAGAAGCTGCAGGATCATTTATAACTGTCTAGAACCATTAAAATTCTCCAGAACCATTTAGAATGGTCTAAAACCATTTATACAACGCTCTAGAAGCATTTAGAACGCTTCAGAATCGTTTAGAACGCTCCAGAATCATTTAGAACGCTCGAGAATAATAGTTTAGAACGCTCAAATTAATCGATCAATTAATCGAACTATCAATTACATCTGTCTGGAATCATTTAGAACACTCTAGAAAAAAAACGCCGGGAAAGTCACAAAAACAACAAATTGTAATCACAACGTGTCAACTAACAAAAAAACCGGAATTTTGAGCCTAACGATATGGCAACAACGCATCGGCAATGCAACCGCACTAAGTAAAATTCCCCTAGTTAAACGGCAGAATTAACATTGGCACTAGGGACATTTGGAACTGCTTGGATATTACCAAAAACGACTTGACATTATAAAACGTACGAATTAACTTTACTGTTGCTCGAATGCGGTATTTTCGGGATAATATCGATCAACGATGGCGTCCCCGGTACAACATGACGCAGGTTATATTGGTTATTGGTGCGAATACGGGCGAGGCTTCGATAAATATGGGCACAGGTGTGTGCCCGGGGCTGTGGGTCGCTCGCGGAATGCGGAAGAGGCGACGTGAATTCACCATCTTACTTTTCGTCTTTTCATTTCGTGTGTGATGCGACAGGTCGTCCGGCGATATTGGGCAAGAGGCGGTTTCGAGATCGGGAAATTATTATCGATCTCGAATGGTATCGCGTTCTAATCGATGATCGAGTGCGTAAAACGTTAGTTTTTAATTCGATAATTGCGGATAAAATTACATACCTTTCACTTAGGTTTTTACGGAGCGCTAATAAACTTCAGCGCAACCTGAAATTAAAGTTACTTTCGATTGATAATTTAGAATAGTAACCTGGAGTTATGAGCGGCGTTGTGACAGTTTAGTGACGAATGAATTATTCCTATATAATTTACTAAACCTGTACGCAGATTTAATTAGATTCGATGGCCCGTATTCAGCGCCTCATTTTAACTTTAGCGTGACTCTAAAGTCTCCTCTCTAGTCACTAGTTACTCCAAAACAACAATGTACAACTGTCAAGTTAAAGACACAACTTTAGAGTCACTCTAAAATTAAAGTGAGGGACTGAACACGGACCAATAAAAAGATTGTATGAATTTAATCCTTTTCACATGAGACACATATAGTGCATAAACGAGTAACTACTTCGTATTTTTTGTATGTTCATTAAAACAACCTGTTCTTTGGGTAGGTATGTAAAAAAGGATACTATACAACAATAAAAAGTACCGTGTTTCTGAGCGAACGGTACTCAAAATTCGAGATGACTTACAGTTTGAGTAACCTGAATTATAAAATAATTAACTTGCTTTATTTTTAATAACAATTCAAATTGTGTTTGGGGTATTTTAAAGAGTAATAACTTTATTTAAAAGTAAAACATATTTAAAAGCAGACATATTTAAGACGATATAGACAAGGGAAAAACATTTCTAAGCATTTATTTGTAGCATTCATAGAAATAAGAAGGATTATCTTTTTTATTTGAAGGACTAGTATGAGAATTTGCCGAATAAAAAGTTTCATATAAAAAAGTAAAATATTAATTAAAACCTCATATTGAGACGGTTTTCCGTTAAAAGGACAAACAAAACCTAAACTTATGTCGAAGAAAACTAAACTGAAACTTTTCACAAACTTTTTAAAAATGGTTGAATAATGGAGTTTTATGTTTGTTTAATGTTTTATGTTTTATGTTTGTTTTATGTTTCTTTGTGTTTTCCAGGTTCCAGAAAACTAAAACAAAACACAAATTCTACTGTCTGTTTAATTAGAAAACCGTCATTAGACTAATTTTTTCATAAATTCTTTAATGGGCAATTTCGATAAAAATTAACAAACTAATAGTATAATTTGTGCATATATTCAGAGTGTTTACGTGATCGAATTTCAAGCGATTAATGTACGTTTTATCCAAATCATGCACGATGAATACACAGAAAAAAAATCATTATCATACTTTATCATGTAGTAGTTATTTTTTAATGGAAAAAATAATTGTTATTACCAGCGCATATCAGCCGTGGAACGTTAGGAAATAGCAGGTGATGGAAAGAAAATAGCCAAAATATTTTGTAAGTGTGAAATACCGTTACATAAAATACGTTTCTAGTATAGATAATTATTATCGGAATGTTCATCGTATGTGCTTCTGTCACGTTTATTTCATAATTAATTCAACTTAAATATTTTTATGTTACCTAAATAAACAATTACATAAAATTGCGGTAATTTGTATACTGTAACTTACCTAATTTTATTTAACCTTTAAACTTCAATCGCACGCATATCTACAGTGCACTTATAAATTTTACATGTTTTTTTAATATTGCTAATTACAAATCAATCGCCATTAACGATAATTTTTTACCATCTAATTACCCTCCATTTAAATTGTCTGGTGATAATTTTTGTACAAACACGAAGTTGTTACAGGAGTCCTGTTAAAAATAAACTTATTTACTTTATTTAGTAACAGTTGCAATTTTCAATAAACGGGCTACAAAAGTGCCGTAACTTTCGCTAAATATTTTTAAGAAATAAGAATGATAAAAGCAAAATCGGTTGCTCTCCGGGAAGCCGAAATAACGACTTTCTAAATTTTAATTACATTGTTGAATTGCGGTAAGACTCCGGTCGATAGACGCCTTTTTTTCTCGATTATCCTTTTCCATTGCGCGTTGCTTTCACATCCGAATTCTTATGTATATTATATTAATTGTTCGGCAGTCATAAATGAATTTTTATTCGAATCGAGAAGTAACTTATGCGCTCCGAAGGCAATATGGATACCTGCCTAACCCTATTTGCATCTGAATGGAGAGAAGATATTTTTTTATATTAGTGAAAATGTACATATTAATCCTGTCACAAAGATAAATAGAAATTTAATCGCCAATTTAATCTCCATAACGAAATAATAAAGTGTGAAATTGGAATTAACGAGCTGAATACAAAGAAGTCGAGGTTATAGTTGAATTTACATCAAGAATTTATTAAGAGTTCTATCAAATTTTTATATTTTCCGCTTCTTTTCCAGACGAAGATTGGAATGGAGACACCGCAGAATCGACCGTTTACCTCATGCATCAACCCGCTCAAATTCACACCCCCAAGCCTCCCAGGGACAAATCCCCGGACTCCCATCAAAGATACTCCAGATACGTCGAACCCCATTCCCCGAAATTCGAAAATTCAGGTAAATTCCATTTCATCACAAATTTTTACTAGCTAACTCTTAATATTCCGTTGGTTTAGGTTACAAATCAGCGAGAGATGGATCGCAGAAATTCATGGAGAAACCGATTACAAAATACACCGAAAATAAGTACATAGAAAGACAGAGGAGCTTAGAAAAAGACAAATTTTCTAGTAACAAATTTGCCGAAAGAACGAGAAGCTTGGAGAAGGAGAAATTCATGCGCCACTACGATCACGAAGGTCGTTCAGGGAGCTTGGAGAAGAACGAAAAATATGGAGACAACAGGTAATACACACTATAAAAAGATAATTAGAAAATATTATAATCTATACCTAAAATATTTCAGGTATTATTATCAAGGAGACGAAGAACCCGACAAGTTCAATAGGTACTTCGAATCGGACCGCTATCCAGAGAAATCCAGACAGGCCACCGACGATTATCATGCCAGAAAGGACAAACCCAAACCAACTAAATATTTCGACGACGCCGATTTCGAAGAAAACGTCAGGTACAAAAACAAACCGGATTTCGAAAGAGGCAAACCCCGATTCACTTACGAGGAAGAAGAAGAATATTTCGACAACCGCCCCATGCCGAAGATCAGACAAAGATACCCGCCCGATGAACTGAAGATGTTCAAAGATAACGGATCTAAGAGCCTCACCAGAAGCTCCCCAGACGACTCTAGGTAACGCATTTAATTATCAACAAATTCTTAGTGTACCCATAACTTCTTTTTAAACTTTAGGTATTACCCGGAGCCAGAAATCAAGGCCAGGCCGACGTCGCATCCGATCCAAAAGGACCATTTCAAGCACCCTTCCAGAAGCGATAGGGAAGAGAAATCCACCAGATCCCAAGACTACTACGAAGAGCCCCGGAACAACGGCATCTTCAGAGCAACAACACCAAGCTCCGACGACATCAAAGCCCCCAGAGACAGGTTCAAAGATGCTAAGGAGAAATTCCTGATGATGGAGCGCGAGCGATTAGAAAACGAGCGCAGGAGACCGGAACCTCCGATCTCTCCCACTAACGTCAAGGAGAAGCCTTTCAATAAACGCTACAGCGACGGGTTCGCTAATGGCAGAGACAGGTATAATTTTAGATATATTGTTACACGATTGTCTTCAAATCGGAATCCAAATTGCAGGTTTTTCAACGACCACCGAGCTCACCTGGAAGACCCCAAGCCCACTCCGGCGCCGAGGCACTTTCCGGAGGAAATCCGCTATCGCGACCCGGAGGTGAGGCTCAGGGAGCGCGACCCATCCAGGGACAGGTACCGGCCCAGCGACAAGTACGATCCGAAGAGGCGGTCGATGTTCAGCCTGATCGAAGAGGAGCACAGGAAGAACTCCAGCGAAATAGCCAAGGAGCTGAAGAGGAGGTCGTACATGGACGGAGGGAATTACGATGAGGAGGACGACCGGTCGAATAGGGAGCGGCACTTCCAGGACCTGCCCGAAGCGGACAGGTTCCTCGACGGCTACTCGAAGTCCAACGGCGAGCTGGCCGAGAAGATGGGCGATTCGAAGTATATCAAGAACCAGAAGCAGGGAAAGGGCTCGGCGGGATACAGGCACAGCTACGCCGAGCCTATGCTCAGGATGGAGAAGAACGGGAAGAAGTATTTTCCGGAGATATTGCACAGGACGAATAGCTCGGTTGGGAACAGCGGAAGAGTGGGCATAGCCAGCGTGCATCCCTATTGAGGAAAACTAACAAACAACTAGGCCAGTCGAAGAGCAAGTTTAATTTGTTAGTCCAATTTCACGAAAAATTGATGAATATTGAACACACTGATGAAATTTTCACTGCGTTTAAGAAACAAGCAAGGACTTGCTCAATTTGATTGGTCTATATTTACAGGGGTTGTTCGAAAACTACACTACAATACTTTCATTACATACAAGTTACTAATCCATGATATATCTAAGATTTCATGTTAATATAGAGGATACGAGTAAAAACTATGCGTTATGAACGTGGTTTTTAGGTAGTAAATCATAATTTATAAAATTTAAATTTGTCGAGTAGGAACGTTTTTGGAATTTGTTTGAATACGAAACATGGAAGGCTGATGGTTAATTTTGTTTACTTTATGATGTAAAGACAACTGATCAATTAATATTTTGTGTAGAACGTTTTTAAACGAATATTTTTATGTTTAACGAATGTATCTATTTGTAACGTTTAGCTAATTATGAATTGCTCATTTTTTTATAATAAGTGTACCTAATATTAAATAAAATGGTAAATATTTATAAAAATAGAGACGGTATATTAGTAGGTAATTTCATGCATTGTTTTTAATTTAGGTTTAATTCTAACAGAAATTTAAATACGGACAATAAATAATAAAAAGGATTATAAGTAGTGTATTGTCCACTATAATCCAGCAATATTTTTTCTATTTTTTATTAAGATTGCAACTACATAAATGTTAGTTTCAAATTATTTATTTTTTCTTATGTGCCTTTATATTTCATAGATATATTTTTATTATTGTAAATTACAATTTAGATATTTTTTTTTAATTTTATTTTAATCGTATTGTTCTGTTTTCTATCTGTTGTTTTCTTATATTTTATACAAATAAACTAAATATATTTCTGAGTATCTGAAGTTTTGATGTTCGGGCTGCAGCGGTAATAGGTACGGAATTCTTCGCGCGAGGAACTCTTCGAATTCTAATTCGTACGTTGCAAATAAGGGCCAATCAATGGTAGAAAGGCTGACATTGCACATTTAATAAATAGCTCATCAAATGTATCTCTAATAGTTCATATGAATAGCTCTTCCAAGACCTAACTCATTTAAGAACTTATTTAATACCGATGGCAATTTAATCCAAAGCTCATTTAATAGCTTATTTAATAGCTCATCTAATAGTTCACCTAAAAACTCATCTATTAGCTCTAATAGCTTAACTACTAGCTCATCTAACAAGTCATTTAATAGCTGATTAAATAGCTTATCTAATAGCTTATATAATAGCTCAATAGTTCATCGAACAGATCCAATAACTCAACTAATAGTTAATCTAATCGCTCTAATAGCTTATCTAATACCTCATCTAAGAGCTTGTCTAATATCTGAATTTACTGTCTTAATCTAATTAGCTACAATAACTGAACGAATAACTTATCTAATAGCTGATCTAATAGCTCATCTAATAGTTTATCTAATAGCCCTAATAACTGATCTTTACGCTAATCTAATACCTTTAATAGCTCAACTAATAGTTTATCTAATAGTGTAGTAAAAAAATATGTAATCGACTAGGTAGCAATCACTTGCTTTCTGACAGCTCCGCCCTTAATTTCTTCTTTTGTCTCTTATCAGACAGTCCTAATTTTTGAAACTACTTTTTCTGAAAGGTTCAAGTCGAGTTTTATCCATTTTAAAAATTAAGTTTCATTATTTTAATGAAAATAAGCCACATAAAAAAGTTAATAACCTAAAAACTAAGGTGTTCTAATAGAAATATTAACAAGAAACCTGCATACTTGGATCCTAGTTAGTTATGGTAGATACCAGATGGTGTATATTGTGTGTATAGACTGTTAATGGTATGCTAGGTATGCTGGAAAGACTGTTGTAATCACAGATATCATCAATACTAACAAAAATAATGTTAAATATCAAAGAGTATCTAATAGCTACTGTAGGTACATATAGACACACATATCGATCAAAATTTACTTGTTCATTCTGTTTACTGTCTACATTCATTACATAAATAGGTATTTCACTAACTTCACCAGGTTGCTGGATTGGAATTTGTTTCTTTTGGGAAATAAAAAATCAATCTCCAATAGAAAAAAATTTCTTCAATATTACATGTATTTATAATTTCTTGAATTAATTTAATTCTTGATCTAATTATTTTCTAAAAAAACTACAACGTAATTAATCAACACTACTAACACATGATTTCCATCCTGGATTAACTATACTCCAATCAATCGAGGTTAAATCACGTCCTTTTCGATAGCTAACAGGGTTATGACTAATTTACTTAAAATAATTTAAAGTTAGTTGGGAGTATCCTCGACACCTTTAACCAAAACCCCAACCCACCCATCCAAAACAAACACTCGTTCTCCGCCTATGTCGTCAATATCATCGTATATCGGAGTCACTGGACCCAATATCAAGACGGGAAAGTTGACTTAAAGCCCGCGGCGATTTTACCTACCTACTTAACTTAAAGACACCGAAGAATACCAGATTTCAAAGTTATCGCAGACGTACAAATTATTGCGTTCGCCTTTACACAACTCGCCATTTTTTTTATATCCACCCGGACTGCCGTACGCATCGCCGTTTCGCTCGTTACAATATTTCTCAGGACTGTTTTTTCTTTTCCTTTTTTTTTTTGTTCTTCTCATTTTCGTCCTCGGGATTGGACGTAGGCTTGTCGCCGGTTTGTAAACGTCGAGGAATATTTTATACCTACACTTTGCGCTCTATAACTGCTCATAGCTTTACACTCTTGCTATAATGAGTCTACTATCCAGTTGGAATGTACTGGGAAAGAAAGGGGGTCTTTGAATTTGCTTTAGGTATGGTTTAAACTGCATTGAACATCTTGGAGAGTAGTCCAAATTCTAGAGTAAAGATTATTTCAGATAAATAGGCAATTCCACGTAAAATATTTCCATGTATAATAATCGTTACAAAACTTCTCGGGACTTTTTTCCTCTTTTGTTCTTCTCCATTTCGTCCTTGGGATTGGACAAAGGTTTGTCGCTGGTTTGTAAACGTTGATTGATTACAATGCGCTCTATAAATGCTCATAGCTTACACTCCTGCTCTAATGAGTCTACATTCCAGTTAGAATGCACATAGGAATAGAATGTTGGGGGGGAAGAAACGGAGCCTTTGAATATGCTTTAGGGGTGGTTCAAATAGAATTGCATCGAAACATATTGGAGAGTAGTTCAAACACTAGAGTAAAAACGATTTAGGCTGTGAAGAGGCGTTTACACTCTGTATAATATTGTGGTAAATAGGCGATGTACGGTTTTATCGTCGGTGCTTCCACATTATTTCTGTTAAGTTTGACGTGGGAGTGCCTCGTTTTGCCGACTTGCTGGAATTTAATGGTTCGCTGACGGTTCGAATGTAGGTGAGGTACATACGAAATTGTATCTAATAATAATAATAACAATAACATAAGTCGAGAGGTTAATAATTGTTTTCGTGTAGTAACGTTACGCCGCCGCAGGGGGCATATTTGTTTTACCTGTGGGGTGTATACCATTTAGTAATAGAATTTACACATTACTAAAACGTAAGTTTCCTCTATGTGAAGCTACAGGATTTTACAATAATTTTAAAGACTAATTTTTGGAGAATTTTTTGCCAATTAAATTTTCCAAAACATTATCAAAGTGTTAGCAGTCGATAAGATCTTTTCAATTTGAGAAAATATATCATTAATAAAACACTATACAATCGACTTAATTAACACTAATGCCTAGTTAATTAAAATATTAGAAAACAGTCGTGCAATTATCGTTTCATTTTTAATTATTAAATATACACTTTCCTTCCTTTATCAATAGAAATACAACTGACTTTCCCGAATGTAATTCGATCATCTCGCATCTGTTACCGATGAAATTCGTCAATTTGGTCCGTTTGTAAATTTGTAATTTGTAATTTTCGTGGACAATTCACTTTCGTATTTTCATCACTACTCGATAAAAACCAGCATTAGGCACAAATTTACGTGCGAGAGATTACCCCGTTTTTTGTTCCTATTAATCTAATAACATCGAAACACCAAGCTGGTAACATTATAGATGATACACCCGACTTTTCAAACGCAGCGCCGACACAATACAGGTAGTTATGAATGTGCTGGATTCGGTTTTTATAAAATAATTTTTTTGCCGTACGCCGGCAGAGGTAATGCGAAAATAGCCGGTCGTCGTTTCATTCAGGATTGCTGGAATGTAATTTATTAAGGTAAGTAGGTGGGCACTATGCGGAGTACCTAGTTGCAGTTGCAGCGCGTTTTTATTCCTGTTTTGTTTCGGTTCGGAAATGACGTGTTATTCAGGTTTAATGTTACACCACAAGTAAAGAGTTTAGAATGTGGATGATGGTTGAAATATGTTAAGTATAGATATACGGATGCCTATTGTACCCCGCCCTATTTAAAGTTTTCAGTAGCCGAGATATTACACTAACTTCAGAAAATGAATTAATGAGCATCAGGATAATATTGATTTCTATTTTATAGTAAATCTAGGAAAAGGCAGTTTTACATCAAGTTGAATGGTGCAAATAACAAAATTAAGCAAAAAAGATAATCCTAGATTATTTTATTTACCTACAGTTTTTAAGTAGGACGTTTAGATCAAGTTGAGTGGTGTATATAATAGAATTAAGCAAAAAAGATAATCCTAGAAGATTTTATTTAGAGATTTCAAGTACGTTTAGATAATAAACGATAATTTAAAGGCAAACACTACTAATCTAGGTCGGTTTGGCTATGGCAAACATTTACCTTAAAAGTTAGTGCAGCATCACCTTGTACTAAAAAATTGCACTTAGTGTCGCAGAGGCGAAATAAAAATGGCAAGTATACTTATTTTAATTAATGCCTTTAAACGATTACAAAAAACCTAAGATTTTATAAACCATCTGTTAAATTCTTCTTCAACTGGATTGATGTATTTTTACATTTTTCGAATTCCTCGAAATCATCACGAAATTAGGTTGGAATGTTGCCACCAATTTCAAAACACACTGAAAAAATTTTTGTACATAATATTAATGAATGCTGAACATTAAAAAAAAATCATTGGATCGATGAATTATTTCATTAATTCAATAACTTTATTTTCATAAATTAAAAACCGATTCATTAAATCAATGAATGGTCGTTCATTAAATTAAAAATGCAATATTTCATTACAACAATGAAAAAATATCTTAATATTAATGTTTTTTTTTCTTTATATTAATGAATATTTTGTGTATTGAGTTAACGAATATAATTCATTATTTCAATAACTTTAGTTCTTTAAATGAATGAACAATTTTAAAATGAGCATTCCTTCATCAAATATATGAACACGGTTATTAAAACAATGTATCGCATTCCTTGATTTAAGGAACGCTTTTATTGTCCCCACCCTCTAAGCCGCCTAATTTGCCGGTTTAGCGCCATTCGCATCTAAGTTCGCGGTTGAATAAAGTGACAAGTTCAATCCGGTTGTATTGTTCCAATTTATTGTGCAATACTTTCAAGAAAATGGTTTGAGAATGACACTCTCACAAAGTCATAAAATCGAGAAAGAGATCATCGAACGATTTCCTAATGAGAAACTTGTAAGTAGCATACTTCTTTAAACTGAACTTGTTACGAAATTTTGATTTTTTTTCAGGAATATTACCGCGCTGCTAAACGGGGAAAATTGTATTCCAAATACCAAAATGCATCAAACTCAATAAAAACAGCGTAAATTGCGTTGGAAGTAAGAGGAACAATAATGCTCCACTGGTAGACAAATTAATTGAAATTCACGGTAAAGAGCTAGCAGGTAAGTTAAAATTATTTGAAATAAATTTGTGTTTCTAATAGCCATTTTTAAATTTTTGTTCAGATGCTGAATCAGATGCTGAATCCTGTATTAAATCTCTTAAGTTCGATAATTTGTCTGCCGAGGAATTCGACAACGTTTGGAAAGGGTGCTCCAATGCCAGACTTCAGTTAGTTAAACAAGCTAATTCAGTAGAAGAAATTTTAAAGGAGTGGCCATTTTACGCCAAACCATCTGGCTATAGATTTGTAAGTGATTGATTTTTTCACGTATCATATTTTTCCTAAAAGTTCTTTTTTAGATGCTCTTCGATTTCGATGTTGCTTTTAAACATGAAGATTTAATCGATAAGTGGAACATTAACTTTAAAGTTATTCATCAATTTCTTTCAACTAATGTGAAAGACAAACAGGTCAAGGAATCTTCGTGTCATAAATAAAGAAGAAATATCAGAAAGTGAGTGCTACATATTTTTTAATAAGGAAATGTAACATAATTTGTTGCCATTTATTTATAGATGGATGATATTTATCTGATTTTCTTTTTTACTTTTATAAAAATTATATGTTTATTTTGTTATTCACTTGTATTTCATTTAAATTTCACCCTACCCTACCCTACCCTATGTACAATGATCCTTAATTCAAAGATTACATTTCATAAATTCAAAGATTACAGTTCATAAATTCAAAGAATAAATTACCTTAGATCAATTACCGGAAAATTATTATATCAATGAATATATTTCTTTAAAACTAGGAATCATAATGCATTGATACAAAGAATAATAATGCATAAATATTATGTAAACCCTACATTAAATTAGTACAACACAGCATTGAATCAATTAAGTGCAAATCATTGAATTAATGAATCACTATTCATTGTTACAATGAATTCGTTCTTCGGAGGTAAATCCATAACTGGTGATCATTGGATTAAGGCACTTTTTCTTTAATATTAAGTACTTATTTGGTTCAGTGCAACCTACTCGAATATTGGTGAACAGAACACCCTGTACTATTTATCGATTTTCCAATTCGAACCGGCTATAGAGCGGATATATCGGCGCTTAAAACGAAATCCCACCTACCTTGGAGATGAACCTCGCGTCGATATTTTTTATTTTTTAATTATCTCCCGCAGTTATATCTCGCCTTGATTTTTTCCAAGCCTACGGATCCTCCGGAGATCAATAATAATCGAGTCGATTGCCATTGCAATGGGGATTTAAACGTATCATTACCGACTATGAGTCGAGAGGAAGAGTCGAAAAATCGTTTCGAAAGTTTCGATGATGGTGTAATATATTCAAACCAGCAACTTGTTATGGTTATTAAAAGTCTCGTAGACGAATCGCTGATGGTTCCTAGCTGAAAACAATCAAAAGCGAGGCTGGAGGTTGTTGAGATTTTGATTAAACGGCTTTCACAGGTTCACCTTTAAGGTAATAAAACAAAGGTGAATTGTCCTTTTCGAGTCCATTTCAGGAGGTGGTCTTGAAAGGGTCAGCTCCGCAACGGCGACGCGGTCTCGGCGTCTTTATAAGGCGTGACCTCTGCCGGTAACTACTTAGCACTCCGCTTCCTTTCGTCCGCGATTTACTCCGGCGATATTTTACTCGTTTTTCTCTCCATCGGACTTCCTTGAATTCTCGAAGGTGTAGGAGATTTTTTCCGGCCGCCGGACTGTGTCGAGGATTGAGAGATCTTAGGGCCTCGTTGGATTTAATCCAACGCGCTGGAATAGCTGGTGGTATTTAACATTTTCTCCCTACTTTTATGCCCGTATTCTGAAGTGTGGATTATAATACAACAGGTTGGGTGTATCAAATTTAACCAGCCTGTTAAATGTTATAACGGTTTCCCTATATTACTAACTGTGACAAGCAAAAGGGTATCTAATAATGTATTATCAGCCCTTAAATTTCAAATAATCACATGAAAATTTAATCAGTCGATCATGACCGATTATATTTTTACAGTTTATAAATAAGTAAAAGTACCTAAATAAGTAAAGTAAAAATCCTTAAATATACATATTTTTACGAGTATTCGCTAATTCTCTTAAAGAGATTATCAATCGAGAATCTTTTGGTTCTTGTCGTTTAGTTTGAAATAAATCATTGAAGATTTATTTAAAAGAATACATTTTCAATACATGGTCAACTTACCTACAAAACCGATTTAATTACGAATAGCTAAGACCTTATATTTGGAAGAAGAAGAAGAAGAAAGACAAAATCTAGAATCATTTTGATCTTGTTTAACCTATATTTGACAGTTCTACCAGTTAAAACATTCAAATAAGCAACGTTGCTTCGTTAACATACCCGTTTTGTAACCAATTGGTTATTTCGATTTCCGAATGCCGATTGAAATTTAACGATCGGTAATATAGTATAATCGCTTGGTTACAAAACCATTTGGTTTTGAGAAACTTATGAATACGGCCCTAAGTCTATTGTAGTTGATTTGAAATATGGTACCATCTAAGCCCAGCTTAATAATAAAAGAGGAACTCAAATGTAGGCGTAAGTGTGAATCATCATTATCTGAGTATCTGATGTACTTGCACTGGAACGTGTTTCTCTAATAACGCTAAGGGCATTCATGATGGTTATGCGATAAGAGCGCATTTTTGTACCCACTTGGAATTTATTGTTATTAATTATCATAAATAACCTACCTGCGAATAGCCACTCTAAATAAACGCAAATTTTATTTCCTTGAGTGCTGAACATACCATTTATTACTCCTCCAATTTGATAAGGTCAATAATTAAGCGTGTTTTCCTCGAGAAATAATAATTCTCGATCGGGACATGTGAATCATGATGCATTTGGCCTTTCTAGGAATGTTATTAATTATTGCGTTTATTGGAACAATAGCACAACTAGTTGAATTTACGTAACGGCTATTCATTAAAAAGTTCGAAGCGGTTTTTAATCCGAATCATCACGAATATCCTTTTACTTCCTCGGGTTAGGTGTGGTCGGGAACATGAAGAATGATTCATTGGTAGAATCTGCAAAACACCTACAACTGGAATATATAGGAATTAAGATAGGTTTGTTGTTCGACACGAAAAATTTATTCCATACTTTTTTACATATATACAATTAAAGCGAACAATATACATAAAAAAATTGCATGTAGAATTGCTACGGGTGTTTTAAGTGGGGTAAAATCTAAGTTACCACCTCAAGAAGTAGCTAAAATAAAACAACCGCAGATACTCTAGAATTGCACTATGGTACATTTAAGTCTCATTTCTTATGCTACTAAAAATTTATATAAGATTATAATTAATTTCGCAAAAACTTTGTTAAACACGAATTGTTTCAAAGTACAAGTCGTCGATTCGTAAAAACAATTTCCTTCTGTATTTGCTGGTCAAATTCGGCGTTATGTAGAAAAATAGTGGTTGATGGTTGGAAAATTGATTAAAAATTAATATGCAGACGCTTTTGTATAATTAGTAACAGTTAATTTGGATTCAGGTGGTGATTCGAGAAGTCGAAAATTAAATTAGAAAAACTCGGAAAGATAAAATTCATATTTTCGAGCAAAAATATGAAATTAAAACCAACATTCGACCTCTAAATAAGACGTTTCGTAAGGAATTTAAAAAAATAAGCTCAGAAAAATTAAGAATATCAGACCATGCACAAGAAGTAAAAATACGTCTACAAGCCTATAATCTTAGCCAGTATTCAGAAATAAAATTTACCCCGATTTGTACCAATGTTTACGGTTAACAAACATATTTTGCACATTCCATTATCAATCATCAAAACCACAATTCCAATCAAACAACTTGTACGGTAGTGTATGCACTGAAAGTAACTTTTTTATCGTTCTTCTTTCTGGCGTTATCGTCTTTATTGTGTTTGATAACGCTCTTCAAATTGTTATCTTTAGTGACAATGATATTTTTGTCGCTAATGCTCCATTTGGCGTCGTTGCCATCATCTGCGAAATCCCTCAACTTCGGGCTGAGCCCGAACAGCCTGTTGTTGATGTTTTGCGCGGAATTGTCGCCTCTGAGATAATTGGAGAGCGCCATGTTCGGACTGTGACTGGAGAAATGCCCGTCTCCTCTTTCTATCAGGTGATTGGAGCTGTACGAAAGAGGATAATCCTGCGTGGTGTCTATATATCTGTAAGCCATCGGTATGAAGTTTCTGGTTGTTTCGCACCCGCTTTTGGGCTTCTTTAGCAGCCTCGGCATCGAACTCGTCCAATTGTCCAGTACTTTGTTTTTCTTCAAAACAGCGTCCAATTTCTTGGGCTCGTACTTCAGGATTTGCTTCTCCTTCGGTCTGAGGATCGACGTGAGTCCGGGTTTGCTCAACAGATTGAAATTCTGCAGCTTCCTCGGATGGGGCTCGTTGAGCGAGCTCTTGATGATCAACCTCGTCTTGTCCAAATCCCTGACTGGATCGAAGTTGACGCTTACCCTGACGAACTGGCCGCTGAAGACGTCTTTGGGCGGTTGGGCAACGGGCGGTTGGGGAGCTTTGCCCTTTTTTCGTCGTTGCGGGCGTTTGGGCGCGTCCAGAAGGTCTTCGGCGCTGTTCCAAATTTTCTTCAAATTGCTATCTTCATTGACTAGATTTGAACTGGTGTCGTCCAAGTGCAGAATGTTTTCGATCGAATTGGATTTTGTTACTAACTTCGATTTGGAATTGACCGTGTTGTATTTGAGGTCTTTGATGATTTGCGATTCTACCCGTTGCCTGGAGTTGACGCCTTTGAGTTTGGTTTTCGATAGTTTATCTAATATATCGTTGGGATTGGTGATGCTTATTATGCTACTGGGACCTTCGTCTTTCGCTCGTCTGGTATCAGCCTCTTTAGTTATTTCGATGTGCGTTACTCCGTTTTGATCAGTCCTCTGCAGTAAATTGAACCTGGTCGCAAGGTTTTTCCCGTAGGCTTTCTGATTCGCGACGGCCTTCAATGTGGTGAAGTTCGTGTAGAAATTCTTCATGAATCCTACTTTTTCGAATTTGAACACCAGCGCTTCGTTTTTGATGACGAAAATCAGGATATCCGTGCATTTGACGTCGGTGTAGCAGACGCAGTCGACTAGATTGAAGGATTCTTTAGCGATTTCTGGTTCGAAAGGAAGCTTAGCGTCCGAGGTTTCGGTGTCGGAATCCGAGCTGGACGAACCGTTGGCGGAATCAGTCTCTGTGGTTGGTTTCGAATCATTTTCCGTTAGTTTTTCTATCGTGAAGCTGTCATTGTCGCTGGAAACTATGGATAAACTGTCGATGTCGGATTCGAATCCTTCGTCTTGGGTGGGTAAATTTATTTTCCTGTCCGGTTTGGATAGGAGCACTAAGTCGAGATGGCTGTTATTGAGCTGCAAGTCGTATTCCAGAAGCGGCGGAGTCTTCCTTTGGGCTTTCTCCACCAATGCGGACAGCGAGGTGGACGAGTCTTCTCTTAGAAGTAGGACTGGCATTTTGCGATGGCATTATCTGCAACCAAGAGGAAACGAATTAATTAATCATTCGATTATTTATAACGTTGTATCGAGGGCAGTCGATGTTATGGCAAAAATCGTCCGGCGTGATATTCACGTTTATTATTCACAGCGCGAAGAGATGTAGGTACATCAAACTGAGAAATGCAAATGCAATTTACTCGTAATTGTCGGTCTTCATTTTACACTTTCGTAGGATAAGCAAGCAATGTTTCCATAGACCAGTGAATGGAGGTAAACATTTGTTAAAAAACTTATTAAGAATACTAATTGAAATGAAATTTTTCTGACCTTTAGAGTGATATAATCGGTTTGGTGACATTAAATATTTCCTACTCTAAATGTTTTTATTTAATTGCCTGACTGACCTTAAATTCAATGTGGTTTTATGAACTTCAACCGATTCGTGGATTGCATTGACAATAAACCATAAATTTATTATAATTCGAGTATTTAAAATTTGGCAAAGCTCATAAATCCGTCGATATCGATTGCTGCATTGACCGATCTATAACAATAAATGTCTTCGTCTTCTTGTTCAGAAAGCGTGAAAAATGGAGTAAGTACTGGCATTTAAGTGTATTTTGTACGATGTATTACGAAAGAATTTTAGGTTACTGTTAATTTCATTTTTAGGAAATTGTTGTGGATTCCACTCCGCCTTTAAATGCCTGTGTAATTTGCGCCGGCTGAATTATTTCTCAATGAACCAAACGCGTATGAGTTAAACTGCAATATTAATTTTAACGACAGGTGTAATAGCGAATTGATCTCGAATATCAAATCCTGATTTGTACCTTTCATTCACACATTACCATATTATTTCTGTGTGTATAAGTAGGTACATATAAAGGTCGCATAACACAAACGGTGTGCAGTCAGAGAAATACGATAACCGATTCGTTGTTGCATAATCGAATTTCTCATTTTAATTCATCGAAAATCGACAGATAATTGCATGTTTTATGTTAATTTTTATAGTTATATTAACCAGTTTGTAATATGGTCGCGATTCTCACACACAGAGGTGTCGAAATGATCAAATTTTGACACCTATTCTTTGTATTGATTTGTTTAATATCGTTCATTGCTAAACAACACATATTATTATAATAATTATTTATAAATATACAGGTTTGTTTGTTGTACCTTGTTGTAGATTTTAGATTATTGCATAAGAATTTTTTAATATTTATGAAGTAATACACTTAAACTACTTGTTGAAGAACTTTCTACAGTTGATCCTCCGAAGATCCACAAATAATTATCTCTAGCAAACGTTATTATATTAGATGGAACTCAAAATGGATTAACACAAAGGATTCATAATTAAAATTCATTTTTGAAAACAGTCCTTTTCCTTTATAATTTTGGTCTTCTAATATAAATAAATTCTTCATTAGACAAGCTTGAGTTCTAATTTTTGAAATTTTTCATATTACAAAACTGGCAGAAAGCATAACTTTGCTATGCAAACTTTGATTTATGCACGTAAAAACAGAGATTATGTTATACTCGGAGATAAAGAAAACGTTAAATAATCCTTTAAGTAAATAATTATGAAATCAATTGCATATATTAAAGGATCCTTCTTAAAGTTAAAGTATTCTTTAAGTGGATAAAGGATCCTACCTAACTATCATTTATGTCCCTTATGAAATAGACCATTAGTCCTCTTCGTAGCAGATTTTATACAGCAGGACAACCCAGATTCCTGGAACCAGATCTTTCTTTCACGCCACAAACAAATTGACCAGCTTCATAATCTTCTATCATTTTATACGTTTAAAACCCAGCTAACGGAGCCGTCACGTCTGGCAGCGATTCCTACACATTGTATACGCTATTATTGAATGCGTGTTATTCCGATATGTCCTGTCATCGGATATATCAAGTGCATGGATACATCGGACCAGAAAACAGAAATTATGTCTTCGGCGTCGGATTCGACGCGCTCCGGTGCGGATCGAGAGGAAACAGGGTGAAACGGTGACGGGCCAGCGAAAGGGGCGGCGCGGGGGCGAGAAAAAAAATAATACATTTCCGAAGAATCACGTGAACGTGGAAGCGGAGTCGGGTCGAGTGGAAATCCGGGTAATTGAGTCACAGTTTACGGTTAAAAATTATAACGAATGTTCAACATGTGTTTATGTCCAGTAAATTTTATAATATGGGTATAAATGATGTAGGGAGTTCCGTTAAAAAAATACAGGTGTAAGTAGTCGGGTAAATGTATAATGTTGCAAATATTCTAGGGTATTTTTACCAAAGAAAGTAGCACTTGTTTATTAGCTTAATTAAATTATTAGGATGTAGATACTTAATTATAATTAAACAGCTCTTAAATCTCGAGTTAATTGATAATCCTTACCCTAATGACCGACTGCTCGTATACACACTAAACACTTTCATTCGATCTAAACTCGTCGACAAACAAACAGAAAATGCCCAACCCAATCGGCTCTTCTTCCTATTTCGGGTAGCCATTACGAAATTCTCGAATTTCTCCGGTAATTTTTTCAACATACTTCTAGCCGGTTATTCGTTTTAATACGTCCGTAAATCCGTCTTATCGGCCGAAACTTCCGAGTCTCCTATAGACTTCCTGCATAGGAGCTGCTCGTCGTCGGCGGCATATTGCATAACAGAGTTCATCTCCCACAATACAAACGCGGAAGAGAAATTTTTACGGCGACAAGCGATTGATGTGCTTGACTCACGTGTATTTTGTAAATTAGTGATAACAAGGGGACGTGTTAATTAACGAAGCGATATAATTAGATAAGAAAAGAGAACGCTCCTTTTGCGACACTCTAATAGAACAGGACGTGTATGCATTTTTACAATTTAACAGCACTAGTTTTAAAGGTTTTGTGGAAAAAATATTGCGATAATATGGGCGATGTATGTATTTTTGGTTAATGAACAAAAATATGTATAGTAATAAAAATGTAGCACGTCACATAACTGAAGTATACTAATAAAATCGTTTTTTTTATCGTTATATCGATTTATAAAAGAAACTACAAATTCGAAATGCTGAGCATTAAATTATTGTTTTGTATGATTTTGGGTCGGTTTCGAGTATTATTGTCCAACAATATAGATCTCCTAACACAAAATATATAACTGCCTAGAACCATTTAGAATGCTACAGAACCATTAGAACTGTCTAGAACAACTCAGAACTATCTAGATTGATTTAGAACTTCTAGTGCTAATTAGAATGCTCCAAAACCATTTAAAACTGTCTAGAATCATTTAGAACGCTCCAGACTCATTTAGAACAGTCTAAAACAATCTAGAACGCTTCAGAAACATTTAGAACTGTCTAGCTAGACCCATTTAAAACGCTCCAAAACCATTTGGAACTGTCTAAAACCATTTAGAAATGTCTATAATCATTTAGAACGACCTATAACAATTTAAACGGCTCCAGAATCATTTAGAACTGTCGGGGACAATCTAGAACGCTCCAGAAATATTTAAAACTGTCTAGAACCATTTAGAACGCTCCAAATTCGTTTAGAACTGTCTATGTCCAATTAAAACGCTTTAGAAGTATTTGGAACTGTCTAGAACGCCCTTGAATCACTAATAACTGACATGTTTGACAAATAAGCACGCTAAAATATATTTAAAAAAATTGATTTTTTTGTATAATGCACTAAAAATTTGTTAAATATAGTGTAATTACTCTGAGGAAGTACAAACTAATTGGTATCAACACCAGAATAATAAGTTTTTTTGTATATTGCAACATAATTAGGTCCAATTAGATTTGCGCAAATAAAACCACCTAAAAAATTCTCGTTCTAATAGCAGTAATTAATGATATGGTATATTTCCTATAGAAAAACCAATCGTGCGTTAAACACAAATTTTTGCGCAAACCGCGAGATATCCCCGACGATACGCGGCTAATTCAGTTAGAAAGTGCATTCTTCCTATATCGACCCATCGCGACCGTTGACACTTATATTTAATATAAAAGAAAGCTTGAAGAACAGGTTAAAGGTAAAATGATTCAATAGCGGAACAAACGCGGACTTTGTTAAATTGGTTACGTCTTTTTTCTTCCGTATTATACCGATTTGTAGTTTATTATATTGCTTTAGTTGATTCGATTTATTACCTAATATTAAATGTAATTTTAAGAGCGTTTTCCGTTTTGCTACATCTTTAATGAACCGAGAATTTCCCGATAATGATAACAACTAACGAATAATTGACAACAATCGAGTTTTCTTATATTTATAACAGTGAAAATGCCTGCACTGGGTAATTAATAAATGCACTGAACAGAAATAACAAATTACAATATACAGTAATAATTGCACGTTCTCTAAATTAATTACCCGTGCATCAGATATGGAAAAAAATTATAAAATTTTATTCTCCAACAACGACGATCAATCTGCTATAATAAATCGGCGTTCAATTAATATACTTTCCGTTGTAAAAGCCCTAATATGCACTGATAAATCAAAGCACAAGAAAGTTTACCATAAAAAAAATTCGACTTAATGCTTAGAAAAATCGCTTCTGCACTAATTTTTCCCATCAACAATCTTAAACGCTCATGTTTATCGATATATACATCTTTTACTTTCACTAATAAACGAAATTGTATTAATATTTGCATAATGAATTAAAAAGTAAGAAACTAATTAGAAAACTTTCGACTCGATGATTGATGTGCAGATCTGCCGCGGTAAATTATTGAATAATTAGCAAAGAGATAAAATCGACATTGCAAATTTTAAAAGAAATTGAAAATTTGGATGTAGTTTAGACTAGTTTTAATTTTACACTGTATTAGGATGTTGTAGAATAAAGTAGAGTAAAAAAGAGTAGAGTAGAGTAGGGAATTCTAAATTACATAATCATTATGAATGAATATACTTTGCTGTAAATAAAAATTCTCAATCACCAAAAGAATTATTTGCATGTCGGATTAAAAGGTCCTTTAATTCTTTGCGTCCAATTGTCCTA